GTAAGTTCACTACGGCACAAGCCATGTAAAGCTCAAAAATACTAAAAGCACTCTCAAAAAAAAATCAAGTTTTTAAAAATACAAATGTAACTAAAGTGCCAAAGGTAAGCTTTAGTTTACTTCAAGAATGCATTTTCTGAAAGCAAGATTTAAATCTGACAAATCTACTGACTACAAGGTTTTTTGCCAATTACAGTGAGTAGCAAGCTTATTTGTGTTAGCAAGTTGGAGCAGAGGATAGAAAGTCCGAGCCTTCTGTCTGACTTGCAGAAACAGAGCTGAGCTCTAGGACTTCGGCACCCATCAAGTTGAGTAAAGTTAATAAGCAGGTAGATGATGTGATGATGCTCGCACAGCCAGGTGATGGAGATGCCCAGGGGCAGTTCTGCAGGTTTTTAGAAAGAGGGCACTGCTCACCCAAATGAAATGAGTTTCCTTCGAGGAAAGAATTTCAGACAGTGACAGCTTAGAAACTTGGTCAGGAATCCTCCTCTGGGGCCCATGGTCACACCAACACGGTGGCTCCGTGTTCTGCCTATTAGCAAGATAAATTCTTCACAATCTTTTGTGAGAGATGGCTCTGCCTAGTTAGTAACCAGTGGCAGCAGAATACACAAAGTCAGGAAGTGCTGACCCAGTAAGGGAAGCACTCTGCTTTAGACTCGGTTCGTAACACCCTCCAAGTCTCAAACATTTTCATTTCAATTGCAAGATTTCTTATAATGGAATGGTGATTGAATGAAGAGAGCAGTCACTCTGTGAAAGTATGTATGTATATATATATATATATACACGTGTGTGTGTGTGTGTGTGTGTGTGTGTGTGTGTGTGTTACAAAACAACACAAGAGATGTTGTATCTCTTATCTCTTTTTGATCTCCTCATTTACGGAGTAGAATCTCTAGATTTACAGCACAAAATAAGCACAAACACTGTTTTATGACAACCACACGAGTGCATGAGCGATGAGGAGCATCAGAGAGGAGGGATCCAATTAGATTTTTAAACTTTTATCTTGTTCATTTACCAACCCTCCTATACAGCGTTCTTCACAGTTGACTGGCATTTCCAAACCTGCTTTTCTCTACTTGGTGGGCTTCATTCATTGTATTTTGAAAGCCCAAATAGCATTACTGTTTGCACCTTGAAGAAAATGATTTGTCTTTTACTTACAAAGATAATTCATTCTGTAAACTTCAAAACAATTCATGAACAACAAAAACCCAGACACCCTACGATGCACAGCTTAAAGCTGTATACACGCAATAGGACTAAAAATCACCATTTTTTTTAGTGGAAAAGCTAAACTTTATCCTCTCCCTTCTTCACGCTACAGCCACTGAACAGGGTCACACTAATTTCAGACACGTGTGTGCTCCCAGTACCAGGGACCCGCCCCATCACAGTGAGGTTGGTAAGAGGGGTGTCACCAAGAGGAGGCTCAGGCTGCTCTGCCTTGAAGCAGCAGAGCTCAGCTTTAAAATGCTCCTGGAAGGACTTGCTCAGCCAGTAGAGTGCGAAGGGGTTCACACAGGAGTTGCTGAAAGCCAGCACCCGAGAGAAAATGGTGATGATGAAAGGAACGGCCGTGGGGGCATCATAGCTTTTGTACGTGAATGAGTGGTAGAGATACAGGAGGTGATTCGGCAACCAGCAGACAGCGAACAGAGCCACCAGCACCAATACCGTTTTGGCAATTCTCTTCCGGGATTCGATCTATATGGGGAGAAAATTGCGCACACACACAGAACAATTCATTTAGCTGGCAGAGAACAAAAACCATCCTCTAGATTGACATAGGAATTTACAGTTAACAAGCTGGCCTCCCTTTGAACACATGGTGATGAGCTAACTGGCTGGGACACATGGGAAGTCTGCCTGTGGATACAGAATATGACAAGTTAATTGGCATGGTAACCTGTGATCTTGGTCTCATTAACTCTCATTCTGAGGCCTCCCACCATCCTTGGATGTTGAGATACTCTAGTTAACTCAAGCAGTGCTGTGGAATCCCAAGTGATTTAATTTCACTAAAAGGAGAGAGTGATACTATTCAGAGCAGCTTTCACTGCATCCTCAGAGGCTGACAGGTGAGAACAGTCTTCTGCAGTTTAGGAAAGTTGTCAGGTTGGTACTAAAGTTGCTTTTAATCTATAGGGATTTAAATCATGTAGTCAGAGGAACAAAAACAAAATGTGCCATCCATCACATATGAGAATACTCCTATTCACATCTGTTAATATAAGAGATGAACCTCATAAAATAGAGGCTCAGACAGAGCAAAGAGAACTGGACCACATGGACACTAGGCAAATACAGCTTATATAGCTTCAGCCTCATGAGCACAGCTATTCAACTAACTGATAAAGTACACAAAAGGCATACTTCTTTCTCTCTCCTCCCTCCTCCCTCCTTCCTTCTCCCTCCTCCCTCCTCCCTCCTCTCTCCTCCCTCTTTCCTCTCTAAATGGCACCACTTCTCTCTTCTCCAGAATAGAAGCATCCCTGACCACCAATCTAACAGGACAAGGTTTGGGACTATCCTTTCATTCTGTACTAATTTATGAAAGGAGAGCACACCTAAGTCCTGCAATGGTTTTAATCAACTGTATTGTCACTTTGTTCTTCTCTTGCCATGGGCACTTCATTTCACCCTCCCCAGACCTCAGGTTGCTCATCTGTAGAGAATGTCAGATTCTCATCATCAGTGAGTAACGTCAGATGAGCCTTGCCAGTTTCATCATTCTGTGCATTTCTAATACTCTGTGATACTTTCTAAAGCAAATAATGCTTTGCTTTATAATCTCACGTTATGCAGACTCCCTTACTATTCTGTAAGATAAATAGGTTTTATTGCCCTCACAATCCCACCACCATGTCTATAATGCTAATAGTCTCACCAGTGACTGAATGCAGACACTATTCTGGGAGTTGTATCTGTCTGTGCCTTTTAGTCCTCTTGTTTGTTTCACAGAGAAAAAACTTGGGCTCAGGGAGGTCAAATAACTTGCTCAGCATTGCTCAGTGTGTGATACATTTGGGACTGAAAAGAGAGGCTGTTCTTATGCCAACAGCAGTAGACTGCTATTGGATCTCTAAACAGATAAATGCAATGTATCTCACTAAAAGGTGGCAAGGCGGGGAGCTCACTTCTAAATTCAGGGTATATTTGCAGGAGGACCAATTCATACATACCTGCTTTCGGGCATGGCTTTGCTCCTCAGTAGGTATATTCAAGGTGCTTTTGTAAAGTGTCCTGGCAATCAAAGAATAATAGACAGAGATAATCGAGAGTGGGATGATATAGAACACTAAGAAACACAACAGAGAATGTATTTCTTGCAAGAGCCTCTCAGAGACAGGGTAGGAGTTACACGATTCAAATGTCACGTTTCTGTTAGGATCTCGGAAAGTGTATACATCTGAGAATATAGCCTCTGGCAGAGCAAATATCATAGACATGATCCAGATGCCTCCAGCTTTTGCACAGGTCTTCAGAATAGCATTGGAGGGCTGTCGCTCAAGTGGCTTCACGACCGCCTTGTATCTAGAAGCACATAATGACAAGCAGGGTTGGAATCAGTGACACATGTAACTTTAGCAATCGTCCACTTCTTCCTCCTTTCCCAGCATAGAGAAACAACCAGAATTGGCTGTAGTCCCAAGGACACAGAATATACCCAGTGATTTATTTATTCTAATCAGCTTATCCCTTACTTACTCCTATGAGACATTTCATATCTGCAATTTTGCAATTTTGTAACAGACCTTCTATTTAGGACAAATATTTTCAGCGTGTTTTTCTGTGTGACTTGAGAATACTTCATCACCTATGTGTTGCCATAAGTATTCTAAAGAAGTCCTGCATATGTTAGTGACTCATGTTAATCAAATTAACTCCCCTGGATGAGTAAGCAGTCTTCAATCTTCCTAGGTAAGATTTCCACCAGAAAAAAAAGCAGAGAGTTCATGTTTTCCCCATTCATAAAGGCTACTTCCTTCCCTAAGCTAATGGATCAATTGGGGAGATTAAGGTAAAATCAGCAGCTAGATCCCATGCAATGATGCGACCTCATTTAGACAGACACCTTAAAACCTGTAGTCTTTACAGAAGTCTGCCCTTAATATAGACAGTGAAGCAACAACCTCATTATCACTGTCATTATGATGATGATGATAATAATGATAACAATAATGACACAGTTCAAGCTTTTGCTTCTGTCAGATTCCAGAATCTAGAGCTCTTCCTGAAGTAATGCTGGGCACTGATTACCTACAGGCATCTTTCAAAAATTTTAAAGCACTGCTTTTAATATTTAAAGCCTCATTTTCACGATTTCATGGTTATTCTGCAATGGTTATTAAGAAAAACACAGTATTCAAACTAAAAACACCTTAACATGGAGCCCCAACTCCCTGACAGTAAGAAAGTATGGCACAGTCTAGCCACAGGACTCTAAAAGTCCATCCAAATTAATTTATTTCTCTGGGAATGATAGTCACCACATGCTTATAGAGAAAACAAATAGAATTAAGTAGTGACATGACGCTGAATTACCAGGGTGCTGAAAACCTCACTGTGTTCCTTCTGTTAGCTAATCTGGGGACTTTCAAACATATTTGATGCATTTTCTCTCTTTACTAGCCTTCTGATACATGGTAATGCACGGTCCATTTCACACCTATGCCAATGTTTTCATGTTGACTCTGTTATACCACTAGGCTGCACTAATGTATAAAGCATGAGTATTTTTCTTTGCACCTGCAACAATTTGCCTGACTTAATAAGCCGGAGGAAAATAAAAACACCGTTTGCTATTCTTTCAAGCAAACAATTACATTTCAAAGAAAGAAAGCCCCCTGCCCAGCGCACATATTTTCAAGCACTCTTCAGATGCTAACAAAGGCATTTTAACATTTTTACCCTAACTTTTATTTTAAAATGCTACTGGATTTTACAACCTTACAATTAGGTTTCACAGTGTAAGAAAAACCTGCCGGTAGCCAGTAAATGCTGAGCACAAGCTTTTCTTTTTTTCCTTCTGCCTAATTTCCCATCCCAGCAACAGAACAGAGAAAAGAAACTCACCTGTCAGCGCTGAGAATTGTTAGCGTGAACACTGACACACCAACAGAAGTGAGCCGGATGAAGGAAAGCACTTTACAACCGATCTTTCCAAACAGCCATCCTTCTGCCAGGTAGTGGGTTGCATCCACAGGCACACAAGTCAGCAGAAGTAACATGTCTCCAAAAGCCAGGCTGGTGATGAAAATATTTGGAACTGTTTGCATGGATTTAGTCTTGAAAAAGACTTTGATGAGGATGGCATTTCCGAGGATGCCCACTGAAATTATCACAGTATAAGTGATATAGATGGCACACAGTGCTTCTATTCCTGGAGAGTTGTCTCCGGTCCATCCTTTATGTGTAGTATCGTTGGAGACGACAGAGCTTGATGATTCTGTGTCATTTGTGATGGCAAAGAAAGTCTGATTAGGTGACTGAGGCTGCCTTTGAGACATGTCTCCTGCACTCTCTGCCTTCACTACCTCTTCTCTGCTTAGTTCAGATGTACTTGACTGTCACGTCTAGTGCCTACGTCTAGTAATGAGGTGGTGTCAGGAGAACAGAACAGAACGGAATGGGAAGAAAACCCAAGACAGCAGGCTACTCCTTCCCTTCAGTTCTTCTGTGTCTCCCAGCATGCTTGGCTAAGCGCTCACAGATCTGGCACTAGGAAATGGGAGGAGGAGGATGGAGGAGTCTCATTGGCATTCCTATGACATAAGATGAGGAAAGGTGCTAAAGAAATGCCCTGTAGTGGCTTTTTCATTTGGGGGGAGTGGTCCTTTGAATAATCTTATTAAGGCTTATTAGACCATCTAATTGTTTATTAGAATCACCTGTGTCTTCATTTATACCCAGCCTAGTTTAAAAATATCTTGGTGATTTAAAAAAATGGACAAAAAAAAAAACCAAAACAAATAAACAAACCACCTCACCATCTCCCATCACATGGTGGTCTAATGCACTCTCTTTTATATGACAAATAAAGATAGATGCCCCCCCAAGCACAAACTTGAACCCAATCCTCAAAATTTAATATCAGAGAGACGATGAAACAACGAATCACTCACACCTTGACAGAGCTCATGTGACCTTCCAAAAGCAATAATCCAGTGACCTGGGCTTAACATCTAACTCTGACACATGGTAATTCCCAACCTTCATGTCCCTGGGGCTATGCTGTATCATACCAAAGCAACTTGTAAGTGATTAAAAAAAATCCAGGCAGACCACCAGTCACTTTGTCCGTTGGTGCCTTAATAAAAACAGGGTTTCCAGTTGCTTCTTTAGACATATTTTTCCAAAAAGAGCTTTTAAAGGAATTCTTTCTGTAAAAATGACCCAAGCCAGCCTGCCATATTCTACAACCAAATAACATAAAATAATGCCTCTCAAGGTCTTGACTCACATAGTGTTGTAAGAATGAAAATTATTCTTTTTTCCCAACGGAAAAAAAGTCCCACAGATTATTCCAGAGATAAGGAACATGTTGATGAAGTTAACATCAATTAAAAGAAGTTCAAAAAAAATAAGGAAATCAGTATGGCACCAAAAAGAATGGCCAAATTTTACAGAAAATATGTGTAGGTTGTAGTAGTTTGAAGGAGAAAGCTAAGAATTCTATGAATTATCTGAAATTATCAAGTTCAATGCCCATACCCATCTAGGAGAATCTTAGCATAACAAGGTATTTAGAAATATAGCCATGTTAGAAATCAACCCGGGGAAGTGAAACAACAAACCACTCAGCAAATTGATAAACCAGATAGTAAACAATGGTTGCTATTAATCCTGACAGAATAGGTGCTAGAAATTCTATGAGAAAGTCCAGTGAATAAATTACACCAATAACCTGGTGAATTTGAACCCTCTGCCCCTTATGAAATTATCACCACAGTTTGAATCACTGAGCTAAGTGTGTGCTTTTAGTAGGATTTGGGAGGGAGAGTACATTCTAATCCCTAAACTTTTGTGTATATATGAAGTGGTAAGGATCCTGTCCACTAGGCTGGGGCTTAAAAATAACCCCAATAAAAAATGTAAGTATCTTTGCACAGTTCACATTCTCGCCAAACTGAGGAAGAAATCTCTCTGGTATTCCTGCATATCATTTAGCACAGTGAATGAGACCCTTCAACTCACACTACAGCTGCCTTTTCCACATCAACACTTTGTTAAAAGTAAATGTAGGCATGTAATTCCCCAAATTATCTAAATCCTTACATTCTTACTCTTGTTTCCAGCAGGCTGCAGCCATCAGCATCCTCTCCTTCCCTTTCTCTCTCTCTCCTTTCTGATCCAGAGAAGGCAGGAGAGAATGTCAGCCTTTGAGTTGTGCCGGAGCAATGGGTGTGTGTGTGTGTATAGTAATGTATGTGTTTTTGTTGTGTATGCGTGTGTTATTTTTGTGTGTATGTGTGTGTGTTATCTATGTGAGTGTAATGTGTATGTGTGTGAAAAGTATGTGTGTGTATTGTGTGTGATGTGTATTGTATGGTATGTTTGTGTGTTTATATGGGGTGTATGTGTTTTGTGTGTATGTTGTGTATGTAGTGTGTGTATTTGTGATTGTTGTGTATGTGTGTGTATGTTGTGTATGTGATGTGTGTATTTGTATGTGTGTGTGTGTGTTGTATGTGTGTGTATGGTGTGTTTGGTGTGTATGTGTTGTATTTGTGTGTGTTGTGCATGTGTATATAGTGTGTATGTCGTGTGAGTGTGGTGTATGTGTATAAGGTGTCTATGTGATGTGTGTCTGAGGGGGGGGAGTGGTGTAAATGTGTGTAGGGGGAAGTGGAAATAGAATACATGTTACAGGAAAGTGGAAAGAGACTACTAGGACTATCTCACACAGTACAGAAATGGTACAGGTTAGGACAGGGGTAGGGGAAAGGAGTGCTTGCTTTTACACTTCTGTGCAAAGAAAAAGTATACGTTTCTTTGTTATTACCTAATAGTATTTGATCACTTATAAGAAGGGGCAGATTGACTTGTGAATTTATTCTGCAATAGTAATTCCCTTTATTACCAGTCTCTCTGCATTTATTCATAATTGTATGCCCCTAAATTTTATCTGCACAATTTCCTACTTCAAAAAGACATGAATACTCAGAATGGCCTTTGCAGAGACCACGTGAAATAACCCCAAATTGTAGTGGTAGATTTGAAGGGTTGGATTTTTCAATTGACTCTTCTAAGTAGCAAATTCTCATCATGACTAAATCTAATGGCTCCCTAAAAGTGGACATGTATGGAGGCTATTCTCAGATGCAGTCATCTGTGCTCCACTCACGCATGCCTAGTCCATATGCTGTCATCAATGTGAACTACAATTACAATTGAGAAAAATTTCAATCACATTTAGGCTTTCTGAACACTGAGGTCCAAATTATGAGGCAGGTGGATTTATCTCCATGTCTTTTAACTCTCCTCAGTAATCTTTCTTTTTCAGGAATTTTCTTCCATGCCCCCAGTCACATGTCCCAGTTCCACCCAACTTACTTTCAGCCTTTTACTTATTAATTTCTGTTTAAGGTGCTTCAATTAATGAAGACCAAGTGCTTACCATATAGCCCCACAATTCTAGTCTTAGGTATCTACCCAAAATAAATCAAAAGCATATGTCCACACAGAGACCAATATGAAAATGGTTGTGGAAGAATTTTTCATAAAAATGCATTATAAGCCGGGCGTTGGTGGCACACGCCTTTAATCCCAGCACTTGGGAGGCAGAGGCAGGCGGATCTCTGTGAGTTCGAGGCCAGCCTGGTCTCCAGAGCGAGTGTCAGGATAGGCTCCAAAGGTACACAGAGAAACCCTGTCTCGAAAAACCAAAAAAAATGCATTATAAATAACCTGAATGCTCTTCAATGAGAAAATAAAAACAGAAATAATTATTTAATAGTGGAATACTACATAACAGCAAAAACAACAAACTTTCACTACCTGTTACAAAATGGATGAATGTTCATATTTGCAATGAAATGCATCAGACATATGATATGACTCCTTACTATGAAATTCTGAAAAAGTTGAAAATGGAAATGGCATATATAGCACATCATCAGTTGCCTGGGTTTGACAATTGGAATGTGGATGATTGTTGAGGAGCACAGGAAGCACTTGGGCATGCTGAGGTGTTCTTTAGCTATGTGGGGTGGTATAATGATAGTTTCCTGTTTGTAGAAATTGATTGAGACTGGACACTCTCAACTACCTGAGCTCATTACACAAAGATTATATATCAATGACATTTGAAACTCTGGAAGGAAAGTAAAACTGTAGCTAGATGCCTTAAGAAAATATGGATGAGGAAGACGATTTAAGCAGTCTCTACAGCATTCCACCGGATGAGAGCTCAGGCTTATAAGAGATTACAGGGGTGAGAAAGACTTAGCACCTCGCCTTAAAATGTAACGCAGAAGTTAAGGAAATACACAGAGCCATGCAATCTGAATTTCTCCATCACACACCTCACATGGGATGTTTAGTTTCTTGTCGAGTCTTCTATCTCAAGCACTTTTAAATACCTATAAAGATACTGAGAAGTTCCCAGCTAGAGTCACTGGCAACTGTCTGTCCCTTCTGGGTCTTTGGAAGTGTCTTTACTGTGCTCATAAATGGATATTCTACCTGACAGTGTTGCTGCTTGGAGTCCCACCAAGCCATACACTCTCCATGTCACTCATCCAAGCTGAAGAGTCTTTCTCACAAATTCACCAAGAAGTGCAGTCCTTCTGCGGTGGTCACCACCAGTCTGCTTAGACCTTGTTCTTTTTCATCCAACCTATAAAGGCATGGAAACTCCTCTACACATTTCCTTCCTTCCTTCATTTATATTTATTTATTTTATTTAAATAACATTTTTCCTCATTTTATGTACAGATGGCAGTTTCCCCTCCCTCCTCTCTTCCCATTCCCCCTCCCAAACCCATATACACCCACCCCTCCCACTCCTCCTCCATCTCCACCCAGAAAGGAGCAGAAGCATTCTAATGATTCCTTTATTTAAACAGAGCTAAGACTTTCTAGGGTTACTTTCATGTTTCCACCTCCCCACCCATCAGTTTCCCTTGTTCCCTGAAGTCCACTGGATGATAAGTTGCATATTTTCACATCTGAAGATGGACTTGACAATTACCAAAACCAGGGAGCTCTCACCACTGCTTTTGTTGGATTAATTTTGCTATTCCCATGTGTATTTGGGAAAGATGAAGGACTGGAAAAATTAAGGGATCAACACGAATCATGGTTGGAGGTTTTTTAGTCTGTGTTCCTAACCACTCCACTATCAGACAACCAAACCACAAGTTTTGACTACTTCTGGCAAAGCATGCTGCCTTGCTCCATTCTCATCAAGATGATTTCTCAAGATGTCATCTATACTTTGTCTGACTTGGGTCAAGGATGTCCTAAACAAAAATCCCCCAGATCCTCAAGAATTGTCTTTAGTGTC